TGGGTTGGGTGAACCCATCCTTGAAGTCTTCCCAGTAAGTGACCTTGCTCATGTAAGGATTGATCTTGCACTACAGCTTGCAGATAAGAGAAGAAACAGTCTTGCCTAGCTCTACCTTAGCTCCCTGCCATGACTCTCTGTCATGTTCTGGGGATAATACCTACAGGAAACTGTAAAAAGACAAGGTGGAGGTCAAACTTCTTATCAGACCAATAGGTGTAGCTGGGAACATAATAGAAGCTTTCGAGCCCTTCTTGAGTATATTAATATGCATGGACAGTATGTTAACAGGAAACCTTTCAGTGCCTTAGACAAGATAGCTGAACTTTATTTCAGTGAAACAGCTGAGCTCAGAAGTGTCAGTCGTGAGAAAAACCTTATCAACATTTGAAGTTTTATTAATAAGGATACTGTCAAACGAAGCCTATGAGATGTCATATTGTTAAACTCAGAATAATCGACAGCAGAACTTTATAGTACTGGAAGGCAGGATGGGTTTCATCTGTACTTTGTGCTCAGCTTTCTTGGATTTATTAACATTGATGCTTCAAGCTGAGGAGAAGCCAAAAGGCTTCGCTGCTCAGAGAGGGATGAAATGTAAGGAAAACGCCACGAGAGGGAGATGTTGGAAGCAGGAAAGCTGTCGGGTTTCTCAGCGCTACTCAGCGAGTTACTTTTAAAAGGCACTCGCCAAAAGATAGTTAAACTTTCAGGGGCTCACAGCATCTTTAAAATAAAGCTTATTCTGGGAGGGAAAAAAAGAAAAAAAACCCGAAAAACAACCAAAAAACCCCAAACAAACAAACAAACAAACAACCAAAACCAAAACAAAACAAAACCCACAAAGTCGACCACAACCAAAAACCTGTGTGAAGCCTATTTAAAAAGTTCCATCTATTAAAAAAAAAATCTTCACTAGATACCAAAATGCCTGTCGTTTTACAGTCAGATCTTTCAATTTCTGCTTCCTTTGTATTTATTTGAAGCAGTAAAACACATTATGTAATTTAGATATGATGACATTTTGCTGCTGATCATGAACAGAGGAGTGTATGAGGGGACAGAAGTGCTCAGACCATTTGGCTGAAGCCCCGCGGTAACAGCTCTGTTCACTTGTCCTGCTTGTGGTACGTACTTCTCTGCACTGTTAGATGCCTCCCTGGAAAAATTCTGGATGTTTTACAGAGTTCAAGTGTAATTAAATGCATATCTGAAGACTAGCCAGTCTTAGAAAATGAATGTAGCAGTAAAGGGCTCAAGTCATGTCAAGTAGATAGGGCTAAACGTGGATATTAATTATATAACCAGAGGGACTCAATTTACTTTGTGAAGCAATTAAAAGATGACAGAAACTTACAGTCTGTTTCTGGAAAAGAGTAATGTCTGTTTAAAAATAACTTTCTACCCAGAATAGTCTGCCTGTCTCACATAATATCAATTGTGGGAGAGAAAGAAAAAAAACAAACCAACACAACAGAACACTTTGGCATTTATAGCACTGCTTCTTTATGGAAAAATCAAAGTTTTAAAACAATACAAGTTGACAGGTGCTCAGGTGCACTTTTAGGCATGTAAACAAAGGCTTTGCTTTTCAAACTTGCTAAGCAGCACATCAAAATTTAGCTTCTCCTTGTTTTTATTCCCCATGGGCAGGTTAAGGCTGTTAAGAGGCCTGTGTTCCTACGGACGGGAGGTGGAGGGTTCATTTTTAATATACAGTTTAATATTACTCTGGATTATTCAGTAGTTTGGTAGTCTGTCTCTTTTTATTATTTTTATTTAGGGTATTTCTACCCTGGATAGGCAGGGATTCTTTTCCAGCTTATTAATCAGAACTGGAGTTTGCTCCTCTATCCATAAGCAAAGTATGAAAATTTCACTAACGTAAAGCACCTGCTCCAATAGGCATCCTGATGGAAAATTAACATATTCCTGGATATTTATTGCACTTTAGTTTTGCTTTGAGTGATATTCATGTTCCTCTTCTTTACAGTGTACCCTCTGAAAATACCACTGAATGATTTGGGTCTGATTGTCAGTGAAAACACCAGAACTATTCGGGCCATCGCCACAACATTTGTCCCTCTCTCTTGCCTCAGAGATGGACAGAATGCCAGAATCAGATATCTTCAAGTATCTGCTGGTGCTCCCTCTTCAAAGCAGTCAGATAGTCAGATAGAAAGGAAAGCAACAAGACAGTCCCCACATGACTCCCAAGGTTTTTGCACTTCTATGTTCTCCCTTCCATCACTTCAGAATTCAACTTCTAGCAATGGGCTAAAAAAACTATGGTAGTTACTTTTGTCTTCAGAGGACAGCACAGCATCAAAACTTCTGATCCACCTTTTTTATTGTTATCCTGATTTAAATATGTTAGAAAGAAACAGCTTGGTTGGTCTACTCAATACTGCACTTAACTCTTCCTTTTTTTCCAGGAGTATCTTGCTTTAAGCTTTTCTGTGATGTTTTCCCCTCTGCCCTGTTGGGAATGTGACTATAGCGGGATTTAAAAAAAGAGAGTTTAATGCATAGACATAATAGCAGGAAAAGAAGCCGAGGTGGTGATAGTCTTGACTGTTTATTTCAAAACTATAGTGAGAAATAGCTTCAAAAATCCCTGAAACCTCTCTGAGAGACAACATTTGGGAGCCAGGGGCTATTACCTTCATACTTCAGTAGAATCTCCTTGCTTTTATGTCACTGCTTCTGAAGTAAAAACAAGCTGAAGACAGGAAGAAAGCATTAATTCCAAGTGCCTTTCTCAGGCAAAATTTTACTGAAACTAGAAAGTTCATATAAGCAAGGACTTCCAGGCATGACAGCAAGAAACTTTTAACTCTTTGTTATGGTTTGGAGCTGGCTCCCTGCCAAGTCTCCAAACCTCACCACAAGGAGTCCTCCCCCACCCCAAACCAAGGGAGAAGAGGGGGAAAAAAACCAAAAGAACCGAAAACGAGAGAGAGACAAAGTAATGTATATAAATATATTTACACTTATATTTACAGTTATATACAGTTGAAATATATAAATATATATAATTTCACAGGGAAAGGGGAAGGGAAGAACAAAAACCAAAATTATATATATATATATATATATTATATTATCCCGCTCAGTAGCCCAAGGTCTATCACCTAAAAGAATTAACAAAGAAGATCTTACTACTCTCCTTGGGACAACGCAGAATCACGCTGGGGTGACTGGTGGCTGCCGGCGGCCTCCACCTCCCAAGGTCGACAAGGCCTTACCAGGCCTCACTCTCCAAGCCGGCAGACTCAACACAGGGAGATCTGCACCTCCAAAGCCGCCGGAAGGAAAGAGAGCGAAGGTCTTTCCTCCCTTCTTCTTATACCCCAGTTTACGTAAAAATCGTAGGGAATACCGGGTAAATCTGGGCACTTCCTTGGTTACAAGCTGGTCACCAAGGAAGGCCCAGGCCAAACTACCACACTCTTGTATGGCAATTTCAAAATTTTTTGGTGAGAAAGGATGGGATTGTAAGCTGAAGCAATGTGTGGCAATACAAATAGCTGCCTTTCCACACTCTTCAATGAGTTTGATGTGCTCTAGGTGATGTCACTGTCAAGGGTGAGCATCACTTACATCATTTACTGTGTGATGCAAGCAGGGTTCTTGCTGATTTTTTGTTTGCAATGTGGCTGCACCAGTTAACATATTACCTTCAGTATTAAAACTGTAAGAGCACTTAGCAAAATATATATATATATATATATATATATATATATATATATCAGTCTTTATTGGTCTTTTAACTATTTTCTAAAGGCCTTCACTTTTAAAAAATATTAATAAAATTTGGCTCTCTTGCTCATCTGCACTTACCAGCAATAAAAGATAAGTGAAATCCTGATGCTAAGAACATCAAATTACGTGTATAGTGGGTGTTTTGGTATGCTCAAGTCTAAATGCATCCTGTGCTTCAGCTGGTTTCCAGGTGAGCACAGACTAGCACACGGGCCAGAAGACAGCTACTCTCTGTTCCAACACTTACCTCGTCTAGACAAAAAGAGAAGTAAGGCTATGGGGTATGCTACAGGTTCCACCTGTCTAGAAGTCCACATTCCCATCAGTATGAGCAAACCTAATTAGTTTCTCTGTAGCTGTCTTGACTGATTCTTAAAGGATAAAGAATGTATTTAAAAGGTTCTCTGCTCTTCACTGCATAAAGGTACCTGAAGGCTTCTTCACTGTGTTCAGGAATCACAGCCAGAGGTTCACCATTATGCCAAGTGTCTGACTCCCAGATTTACTTTCTCTAATTTGAATTACAGATCTGCATGGTGCTTCCATTTTACAGTAGTCAAAACAAAAGTCTGTAGCTTTATACAGAAGTAAAGGGGGGAAAAAAAAGAACATCACCACATCCATCTTATATCCAGTTTATTTAGTACCAGAGCAGTAAATACAAATAAGAGTTCTCAAATCTGGCAATGCCAGAACTGGTGAGATACAGCTACAACAGTCTATTAGTCATTCTGGAATCCCGTGTGTGCTGGAAAGCTGAAGGGTGTACACAAGTAGTTTTCAAGTTCAGTTTCATAGATATGGACAATACAGTTAAATACACTGCTCCTGATACTGCAGAGCAGCATCTGTATAAAAATAGAGCAACCCTGTGCCTGCCAACTGAGAACTATATTCCAATATTTGTATTTGTAGTCTTACAACAAGTGAAATAAAAAGTACCATTGTCAAAACTTATTAAAACATACTTTAGTGTTATTTTACAACAGTGATGCTAAGATTATATAGCTTTCTTATGCCATCTTATGGGGGTAAATACTCAAAAATCAAAGTAATCTTACTCGTTTCAATGCAGGTAAAATTTCAGAGCAGAGGTAGGCTTCAACTCAGCAACTTTCAAAGACTGAATCCTAGCTGTCCCCTGGAATGGGCAGGAGGCAATAATTCACCTTCAGATCACTTCTCTTCCTTTCCATAATTTCTGTATGAGCACAGCACTTTCAAACATGCTGGGCTAAGCCCTTATTTAGTTGACTACAGTAAGAGCTCTGAATGTCAACTGACAACACATTTGGACCCATCTGATGTTTAATATCCACATTTGAAAAGCGTAGCTAACATAGTGCTTAGTGGCATTTCAATACCACAGTGATGACTAGTTGTAAAGACATCAGTCCTTAGGAAAAACACTCTGTGTGAGCACAGGTCTTACCAGCAGGCTGACCTTTAAATCCAGGCAGACATCCTAAAAAACTCGTGCTCTTTACCAGTCCACGTGCTTTCCAAGCTTCTGTTCCCATCTAAAACCGAACAGCCACATCCACCTTACGGGTAATGAAATTTTGTTAAAGCTCACAAAAACTGTGCTATGAAAGGGATCAGCCCTGGTCTTATGCTGTCCCTGGCTGTAAAATTATTTCACTAAATAACGACCTTGCCAAGACAGTCCAATGTTCACTGACTAACATTTCACTAACATTTCAGTTCCCACACTTTCCAACCTTCTCTACTTTCTTTCATCACTCATGAAGGAAAAAAAAAAGATACCAAAACAGGAGACAATACTGCTTTATATATCTGCTTTCCTACTTCTGGTTCCTCTGCAAGGCAGCTTTGCAGGTAAATAACTTCTGTAGATGGTGACCAAGCATTTAATTCATAAGACTTTCAGTAGGTATTAGGCACACAAGGCTCTAAGCCGTCCTTCCTTCAGTGAAATACAAATACATTATCACATGCAGCTACAGCATTTTGCTTTTCTTTAGCGCAAATGTTCTTGCACAAAAAACCCAACTACTTCTCAGAATTCTGAAGTAAGACTTTGGTCAGTAAGGCTGAGTTTATTGGAAATTATAGAACACTTAAGGACGTGGTTTAGTGGTGGATTTGGCAGTGTCAGGTTAATGTTTGGACTCAATGATCTTTTCCAAATAAGTGATTCTGTGGGATAACTGTTTATACTTCAGTTGCACCTAGAAGCTCTACCCAAGACCATGTCGGTGTTGAATAAATACAGAATCAAACTCTCTTCTGGAGCAGCTTAGGGTTTAAGTGGCACAGTCCTAAACACAGTAAATCTGGAGTAGGACTTGAAACAGAAGGTCAGGTCTTCTAGGTCTAGACCATTCACTTGACCATACTATCTCCCACCTTTGGCTTCTACTGTCTTACTCCTCCAGATACCAACCTTTGGAGGAAATTCACTGAATCCCAAGAGCTGCCTCTGCTCCATTATTTCAGCTTGTTCCTACTTCAAGACTAACCATCTTTTACACAGATTTCCTTCTCTTTCCAAACACATTGTTGATTAACTTGGCCATTGACTTTGATCCACTTGGTCGTCTCTTTTCCTTCACTTTGAAATTTGAAGTGATATTCCTCAGGACTTTTGTGAACATCGCCACAACTTCCTGACAATGTTCTGCTGCAGACAGTTCACAGAATTGGCACTTGTTATCCATTGCCAGCTTCTGTCCTTCATCCCAGCCAACTTCCCTCATGTGGCATAAATCCTGTTTATTACCAACCAAAAATACAGATGACTCGACCATTCTGAAATCAAAAAGGTTCCAATTAGAGAAAAGATGTATCACAATACTGTGCTGTATGCTGTGCTATATTCAGTGTGTATGAAAAGTCTGTATGTTCAAGAGAACAGGCATTGCAAAAAAAAAAAAAAAATCCAAAAGAACCAACCAGCTCCCTAACTCTGCCAGAGTTCTGGTTTTCCCTTTGCCACAGTCAAAGGATTTTCCAGATTCTCTATCTATTTTCATTTTTGTTCCTCTACTCAATGAATTAATGTATTTTTAATCCACTGCTGTTTTTCATCCTCTATACTGCTGAATATATTGTCAGCACCTGGACTTCATGAAGAAGCAAGCTGATCATTATCTCCATTTTTAGGTAACAGAATAGAGTCCAAGAGATATATCAAGTGTCAGTGGCATAACTCAGAAGAAAACACAGGAAACCTAATTCCAAGCTCTGATAAAATTTTTCCTTTCAGAGAAACCTTAATTAAGAAAGTTCAGCAGTAAAATAGAGAGGAAAGTGTTTTGGCTTTTCACTCCTCTCCAGATATAGGAAAGGGATTTCACTCTCATTTGTTTAGAAAGCACCTCAGCTGACAGATGCAGAAATACACACCACCACACGTACTCAGACTTGCAATTTGGGTGGTTCTTTTTGAAAGTAGTTTGTTTCTTACCACGTGGTTCTTTTTGAAAATAGTTTGTTTTTTACCACATGGTTACCCGTGTGCACAAATAATGTCAGTGTCACCGCTAAATGCAGTTTAGGAGACATTCATGGTATTAGACTTATATATGTTGGGAAATGCTTCCTTCAACCCCCACATAGGTGCATCTCCATCGGTAATCAAGTGGGAGAGTAAAAGCACAGACTGACTGCTGACTTTATAGCCATGCAAATCACAGCAGATAGATTTATGGCAATTATTTAAATAGCAGTTCTGTAAGAAAGAAGAACAAAAGTCCTAATGTACTTGGCATAGGATACAGTGAAATAGATTGCAATTTGCCACACATTTTACCCCCAGGTACCTTGTTGTTGGCATTGCATTATGTCACTTGGATGCTGCTGGATTTTAATTGCCACTAGGATGCCTACAGCTCACAGAAACGTTCTCAGCTCTTTATTATGTTTGCTGAGGGGAAAAAAAATAATGCCACTTACTTTTTACAAACTCCTATGTGAGACTCTCGGATCCTGTACAGCAATGCTTTTGCAAACGCAAACGATGCTCTGTCACTGATGTCATAAACAATGATAAATCCATCAGCCCAGTGGAGCTCGTCTGTGAGGGAGAGTTTCCCCCGCTGTGGCTGAAAGAAGTTCAAATTCACATGCAAAAAGAATGTTACTGTTGTCACATCAGAGCCTTTTCTTCGTCACCATGAACGTGAGAATGCTGTATCTTTTATTGCAAAAGATATTTAATAGGTCTAGGTACTATTATCAAATTCAAGTGAATACTGCTCCAAAAACCTAATATCAATAAAGATAGCATTTTAGATTACCAACAAATTATGAAAAACATATGCTTTTTTTAAACAGTAAAATTCCATAACCTGTACAGCCACTGCTTATGCTGAATATTCTGCAGGGTTACATGTGAAAGAAACATACAGGAAACATTTATATTTGCGCATTTTCTGGTTATAGCTCTGGTTTGAGTGTTTCTAATATTCTGACTACACTAAGTTTAATGACTTTCTTTGGTTTCTTCATTTGCTTTGTTTCTTCATTTGCTTTGTTTCTTCACTGAATTGTTCAAGTTTGAAACACTACTCAGAGGATAAATTTCTAGAGACAGCTAGAAAAAATCTCCCATCAATCTGCAGTTGAGTTTAAAACAAACTAGTGACAAAAGCTGCTCTAGTGGCAATGGGGTTATACCAATCCTTGGGTCCCTTCACCGCAAGAAACTGTTGCACTTCTGATTTCCAGAAAGCAACAGCTGCAAACTGTCCCATTAAGCAAAGGAATGTAATTCCAAAACTATTTTAAATTAGCTTATCCCCATAGATGATTTGGCTGCAGCTAGCAAAACCATGTGATCCAAAATAGATGAAATACTGGAAGCTGATCAGGAAAAAAATAAAGATTAAAAATTGACTTCTGCTCTGTGGAAAACCCACTTTGAATAGTAAACTGAGGACTGTTAAAGTTGGTCCCTCACTAGTTTAGTACTTTGCTATTTGCAATGTATATTCTCCACTGACATCCCAACCTGGTTGCCTTGATTGGCTCAGTCTTAGGGCAGCTCTGTAGAAACATTAACATCTGAACTGGGAAGGCTGTAACTTATACTGAGGGATGGTAACTGAAAGGTGGCAGTGAAAGGGGATGCATGAGAAAGATGAAATGAGTTTCCAGAACTGTCTGAAGACTTCAGCATCTTTAATACAACAGGTTTTTTAGTGCTGTGGGGACTGTGCAGCACATTTAGGGGTGGGAATGGTGACATGTGTGTGTGTCACATGTGGTGACATGTGTGTGTTTCTGAGATGGATGAAGGGACAGTGAGCTTTGTACAACAGGAATTCAGCTACTAGAGGAAAACCTAAGAGAGCAGAAAGATTTCAGGAAGCAGAAACAAAAATGGCTCCTCTTCCTTCCCCATTCTGGTCTCCTCTTGGGACCTGTTTTTCTTCCCCATCTCTCATGGGATACAGGACCTCCAAAACCCATCTAGTCCTGTCAGAGAAAAGCAATACTGCCTCTGCCTGTTACCTACTCCTGTGCAGGCACTAAGAAGTTGGGAATAAAGCAGCAAACAGCTAAAGTTAGGCCTTGTTCCTCAGTAAAAACTAGTACAAGACAGCTCAGAGTGCGCTAGCGAGAGGAGCAGCAATGTCTACTTTGACCATTTCTGCAGACATTTAGTAAACTGATTGCTTTATAAACTATAAGCTATGTAAAATTTTGTCCATTTAGGGTATTTGAGAAAACTGCATGTAATCCAATAACTTATCTCTGTATCTACCTAAGTAAGGCAAAAGTGGTAAAAGTTATTTCTGTTAGCAATACTCCAAAATGAAAAGGCATTTACAAAAAATCTAAACAATGAAGGGCCTCTTCCATGAAACTGGAAAGTACTCAGCAGGTCTGAGCCACAGCAACTATAAAATGTCAGTCTTTAAAAGAAAACCAGCAAGGACAAATTCCAACAGAAGACAAGAAGTTTGTAACCCCTCAACCCTTTTTACCATATACACAGATAGAATGAAGAACAGCCTTTCTTTGCCCCCTCCCACCAATTCTTACCTGTGAACAAGGGTCATAAATTTCCAGGTGTATCTGCCTCCCATCCAGGCACAAGTGTTTAGTGTAGATGCATTCTGAAAGATAGACAGTATCCAAAGAAAATCAGTGTTAGTGACTTGGGATGACAGTGAAAAGGTAGCAATGCTGACATTAGATAATACTGAGGATTACATGAGTACTCTTTGGTTTGGTTGGTTTTTCAAGGGGTTTTGTCTGTGATTTGTTTCTTTTGCAGATGAGGGGAGGGTTGGCTTTGTTGAGGTTTTCAGGGTTAGAGGAGGTTTTTTGTTTGATTTTTTTTTAACAATTATTTTGTTGGTGTGGGGGTTTTTGTAGTGTTGTTGATTGGCTGTTTTCTTTTTCTTTTTTTTGAACATACATTGGAAAGAAACATATTTCATTTTGCAACAACCAACCCCTTAGGCAGACCAACACCATTTCAATTTAGTGCTTCCATCAAAGTTTTGGTATAATGAATACTTTCAGACCTCCCTTCTAAAATGGAGGGAAAGGGGATACACAATGCTCAGAATCAGCTAAATGTTCATGATCACTCTGCTTGATACTAAGGCTCAAGATTATGCAAGTAGTCAGCCAGACTATCTGTAGTTCTGATTCTGCACAAAAGCCATTATTGAGCAATACTGTTTATTTACCATGATACCTGGTGCTTTAAGAGTTCTCATACAAGGCAGCATTAGACCTACAGTATTTACAGGATCATGTCCTTAGGATCTAGTCCAAAAATATTTCTGTAGTGTCAGTTCTCAGATTTAGGACTCTCCACCAGCAACACTGGGAACACTATTGCAGACAGATCATCACTACTCTTTTCATTAGCAGGCTGTTCTAAGCAAGTGTGACCAGATTGTGTTCATTGAGTTAGTTGTCAACAGGCTTTCTGCAGTATAACTTCTCAGTTTCTGAACTACAGAGACATGAACTGGTATTTGCCCTACAGAAAATCCACCTAAAACTGTGTAATGAGGGCTAGATCTATGATCTCTGGAACTCAGCATCTTCAGCTCAGGACCATGTTAATCTTAAGCATTCTCCATGCCTATCGTAAGAGTTCATCTGATGATGAACTATCAGTCCCAAGCACCTCAGAAAATAAAATCTGCAGCCTTTAATTTGTTTAATTATGGTTGTTTCCATAATTAAACAAAATTTTAGTTAATGTTTTGACTCCACTAACAGTGGCATGATCTTTACCACCCCTATTCCCACTTCCCTCCCCCTTCCTCCTTTCTAGAAATAGTGCTGAACGTGTCCTCCAACAAACACTTGTTAACAAATGAAAATGTTCTGACACTTCTGTTCTGGAGGCTCAGAACAGGGAAACCTGGTTTTAGTTGCAGGTGGCTTGGCACACACATGGAGCACAGAGAGCACTATTCAACTTCCATGTGACAGCTCAGACCCAGATCAGCCAGCTAGGACACAAACTATCTTTTCAGTCTGTGTTTGTATTATAACAAGTATTGGTAGAGCATGTATATACAACTGTAACTCTCCCTTCGTAATAAATTAATTTTGATATATTTAACGCAATTCAGTTTAGTACTTCTAATTTCTTTTTTATCTATGGATCACTGGAAGCTCCTCTGATCCCCATGAAAAAAAATGTGGAAAGACTCCACTTCAGCAGGGAAAGTGAGGCAGATGGCAATCTCTCTGACATGTTAAGTTCTGGGACTTCTCATGCCCATCAGCTGGGGTGGTAGCACACTTCCGAAGTTGTTTGTTTATCAGTTAAACAGTATTTCTACTCGGGATGTGAAAGTTCGAGTCCTGCTTTGCCACCTCCCAAGACCTCAGAAGTGTCTTAAAGATCAGTGTATTAGTTCTGGCACGAATGTGACATTCTGTCCTCAGTGCAGCGAGACTTTCCACAAAGCAATCCAACCAGCGCATTCCTGCTTCGCTGGGGGTTTCGCATTATGCTTTGATTCACCACCAGTGCCCGATAAACAATCTGTTCCACCTCTCCTCTGGAGCCGAAGAGCAGATATTCAATAGAACAGGTTTGGGGGTGGGTTTGTTTGTTTTTTTAACCTAGTCTGTCTCTTTTCTTCACCTCCTCTCTGACTGAGCTGACTATAACCCACCCTCACTTCCCACTCGCAGTCCGGTTATCCTCCCTTCCCCGGTTCGGGGCGATCCCTGCACAGACATCCTCCTCAGAGCTTACACTTAGTCAGAACCTATCGCTGATAACCGAGCGGAAACTTAAATCTTCCCGAAAAGTTCTGCGAAACCGCGCTTTTACCCGATTTCCCGATCAAATAAGCGCTCGAAGCGCCGCGTCTTGCGCTCCCCGGGGGAACCCCGAGAGGATCCCACCCCGGGTCGCCCTCCCAACACTCCTACCCTCCCATCTTCCTTCCCTCCCTCCGTCCCGCGGCGCTCACCGGCGTTGGACGCGTATTCCCCGATGAACCGCCGGGTCAGGAACCGCACGGTCAGCGCTAAGGGAGGGAAGCACACGCCAGGTTTAGCGGAATCGCGCCGCCCCCCTGCACCAAACCCGAGGTACGGCCAAGGCCGGGGGCTCCCTGGGTTTCCCCCTTACCCGACTTGCCGGCCCCGCTCCCGCCCAGCACGGCCACCTTCACCTCGGCCATGCCGCCGCCACGCCGCGCCCGCCGCCTCCGCGGCTTTAAAGTGCCTGCGGCGACACCGCCCCGCATCCCGCCCAGCATCCCACCTCCTGCCCGCTCCCCCGCCCCGCCGGCGACGAGGAAGCCACAGCTCTCTGTGGGGGGGAAGTGTTTTTCAGCTTCTCCGAGAAGCGCCTTCCTCCTCCTCCTCCTCCTCTTCCTCCTCCTCCTCGTCAAGTCCCTCCGGCTCGTCCCCTGCTGTCGTCTTCCTGCCGGCCTTCCCAGGCAGGCTGGCGAGTCCCTCGCCTCCTTCTCCTCCTCCCCTCAGTGCGGTTAGGAACTGGAGGGAAAAGGGGAAAGAAGAGGGGGGGAACTAAAAAAGAAAAAGGAAAGAGAAAAGGAGAAGACGTTCTCCAGCTGCCGGGGTTGTTTGTTTATTTTTGTTTGCAGGCTGTCACTATTTTGTACCAGGAGTGTGAAAGTGAACAAGCCGAAGGAATTGGTTTTTAATTTTAAGTGCTTTCTGGCATAACTTGCTAAAAATGAGTGTTCTGAGCTTGTCTGGTGTTCTCCGCCCTGAGTTTCAAAACTTGTCACTCACTAAACCTCTGATCTTGCAAAAACTTTTGCAGGCCTGCCTTTTTATGCCTATGATTGTTTTTGTTGAATTTAAATTTAAAGTTCTGAGTTGTGTGCTGTTTAGCTGAGGCATATAAAGTGTCTGTGAAACAAGAAAATATAACGTGGAAGCGAGGTAGAGAAGGCTAACCCTGCCAGAAAGACACCATGAGTCTACTGTGCCTCTTCATTTTGAGGCTCCTAAAGGTCCTTCTAATGGCTATTTATTTCTGAACATGCATAAAATACTTGTGAGCAAAGGTTTAGTTAGTCCGCTGGTGAACAACAGATTGCTTTAAGATCCTTGTTACACTTGAATACTTACTGTGTTCATGATTATTTTACTTTGTTTATATAACTTGAATATATTTATTTATTCTGATATTTTTACCCTGTTCTGATGGAACTCTTGTGCATCGTATAAATCATTCAATAAAGCACTGCTTCAGTTTGCTTTCTAGGAGGTATTACAGGTACGACAGATTTACATGAGCTCAAGAAAATAGACAGACAAGGTATTTGTTACAGCTGAAGGAAATGCTTAGTGGAGGAAAACATATGTAAGAATAAACAGGCAGATGCAGTTTGACTCCAAAGTCCCTGACTGAAAAGTTGCTAATGGCTGGAGGTGTGAGCAGGGGATACCTCTAGTTTGCTTTATCTGTTTTTTTTTTTTTTATAGAATCATAGAATGGTTTGTATTGAAAGGGACTTTACAGATCATCTTGTTCCATCTCCCTGCCATAGACAGGGACACCTTTCACTAGATCTAGTTGCCAGCCCCACTCAGCCTGGCCTTGAACACTTCCAGGGATGGGCCATCCACTGCTTCTTTCGGGAACCTGTCCCAGTGCCTCACCACCCCCACAGTAAACATTTTTTTCCTAATATCTAATCTAAACCTACCCTCTTTCAGTTTGAAGCCATTCCTCCTTATCCTGTTCTGCTATTGCTCGCTCACAAGACAAAAGTTAATATCTAAAAGAACTTTAGTCTGACCTTTGGTTATTTTAACATTTGTTTTTGAAATAGCAGGATGCTGAGATCACTAGGCTGGAGTCAGTTTGGTGTAACTGGCACGATTTAGTATTTTGCTGTTTCATATACATTGAAACCACTGCAAGAGGAAAGTCTAAACCTGCTTATCCATGTGCGTGCGTTATCAATGATGCAGCTTTTTTGCAGATGATTTAAATAAATGGTTCTGAAGTTTCTTTTAAGAAGTGTGAGGTTTCAACACAGCTGTCTCACAGCTCAGGAATGTTCTTTATTTCCTGTTGAAGTATGTGCAGTTTATGACTATGCCATGGAAAGGCTGATTAAGGCAGTTATAATGATCCATGGTACAGGAAAACAGAGGATAACTCGTCTGAAGTGGGCTCAAGATGCACTCCTCAGGATGGCTTTTTCTTCTCCCTGGTTTGTTCTTACTCTTTTGTTCCTTTATGGCAACCTTGGCTTGTTGTAGTCCTTCCTGGCACTCGCTCCTGCCCCTGTGGCACGGCGGGCCAGCACAGCTCTTCATGCAGGTGTTTTAGGAAACAGAATGTTGTATTTGGGATGTGAATTGTCCAAACTCTTTATTTTATACCCTCTGCAAAGGGAAAAATAGAATCCAGCTCTCCTGTTCCCACTACATGGACTTAACCATATGAGCATTTCCTCACCTAGACAGCAGATGTGATAACCAAATTGGGGGGTTGCACATGTTAAAGAATATACTGCCTGGCACTTTTATTTCTTTTAGTTGTACAAAAAAGTTCATTAAGGAGACTGAGATGGTTTGTTGTATGTATTCAGTATGCATATAACTTAAAGCACTAGAGAAATTAAGCTTTAATTGAAAATTAAATAATGTGAATGTTTTTTTTCTGAAAGACTGTCTTTCTCCCTCCCTTCCCAGAACTAAATGCAATTGAGAAAATTTATAATGTAAGGAACTCCTGAACATCCACTCTAAATAATTTAATTTTATTCTTATTCATAAACTTTTCTGTCCATTTTCTTCTATTACTGCTGCATTTCCATTTTGCAAGTGTATGCACGAGATACTTTTTAATTTCTTCCCATACGGAGGGCACATCTCAAATTTCTTTTAAATCAACACCCCCACAAAACATAACAGCAAAAGTTGCTTACCTCTCTAAGCAATGCCATTTTTGACATTTCAAGTTGCAATGAACACTTTTGTTGATCAGCTTACTGAAATGTTTTGATTCTCATTAAGCCTGAAGGAACATTTCATGTATTAGAAGAAATGATGCAAATTAAGCATATGATTTTTTATGGATTATTTGCCTAGGTTTGGCATTTATATAACAGTTTGTGGTAGATATAGTAGTAATGCCTCTTTAAATTGCCTCAGCCTCTTGTTTTATTTTAGTGTTGACTGTCCTTACCTGCAACTTGTACAATTGCCACTTTCAGTTCCTTCCAGTGCCAAATCTGTTCTGGAATGGTTTTACCCTCATTACCCAAGGGTGCAAATGTCCCTGCAAGGGTAGAGGTGCATACAAAACAGTTCATCTATCTAGGGAGCAGAAGTTTATGTGTGAGTTCAGATCTGGTGGTCAAAAATGAGTCAACTCTGTGCTGCTCAAGCAGCAAGTGAGTAAACTTTTGTTTACGTGTGAAGCTCTGCTGTGAAAGCAGTGGACTTCTAATAGATACGATGGAAATAAATGATTAACCAGATAAAATTCCCTTTTAAGTGAATGTGGTAGATGATTGATTTTGAATTGTTTAAGCTAATAGTTTTCAGAATTTTGCAGATCATTGATCAAATGTGGTCACTTTGCATTTCATTCCCAGTTCTGTAGATTGGGACATCTATGGCCTGATGCCAAGACCTCTGAGAGTCAAAACTGCTTCTGAACATCAGAAAAACATTTACTTTCCATTTTAACCTTTTTCATGCAGCTTGGCTGCTGAAAAGAGGATGGAATTGAGAGTATATAACTGTTGTACTGTGAACAACAACAATGCTTCAATCCAAAAAGCACAATTAGGAACCACTGGCTGAAGCAAGTGCCTGCTCTGTATGGTACAGGATTTCTATAACTTGCTGAGGTTTGTATCCCTGCAGAATTAGTCCCCTTCTGGCTTATGGAGTAATGTCTTCCAGGTAAGATCTGTCTTTTAAAACCCACTTTCCACCATACCTTCAGGTGGAGTGCTTTAAATTTTACATCTGCTACTCCGACTGCTTCCATAGCACATGAACTGGCCAAGTAGATGTCTAAAACCACAACAAAACTAACAAAACTAGAACAACAGGATTTTCAGCTGAATGTGATATTTTCATCATCTATAGACATGGATACATTCCTCAGTGGAATACTCAAAGGTATTATTCATGATGGAAAGAAGACATGACAGAGCATAATCCCATCTGCTGTCTTTATGTGGTGTAAATAGATCAAAACTGCCATTTTCCTCCTAAAAATGGTAAACTGCTCTCAGAGGTAGGTTGCTATAAGTGATTGAAATTTTATCTTGCTGGCCATGGGAAAGTGTTTGGGATTTTTTTAGCAGAAATTACAGATTTGATCTATGAGAAAGTACTGTTAGTACACAAAAAAAAGTCCCATTGGATGTGCAAAACAAAACTTCGTAGCTCCTTACAGATTTCTCTGAAACTGCCTATCCCCCATGGTATCATGAAAGATTTTGCAGACTCATAATATGACTCTGAGCTGATAACCCTTAGGAGTAGGGACAGTGTGACAGGAAGAAAGTTTGGAGACCTCATGATCTAGTGGGAATAGTATATGGTCAGTATTGTGGGAATGAAAACTGAGGCATTTAGGCTTAAGCATTTATAGCATGAATCATGTTATAATATCTTTCTATATCTATAAGATATCATCATATCTTTCTAGCATGAAAAATATGGTGAGACTCTTTAAAAAGACTTGTGTGTTTCTTGGTAAACAGTGTATTTTGGGTTGATTAAGGCCCACACCAATACCACATGACTGCAAGTTAAAATGTCAAGTTGATTTTCAGTTTCTAAACAATCTATTTGTTTGACATCTGTTCTACACAACTTTGGGACCCAGATTATCTTTTGAATGTATAACTATGAAGGGACTGGCCCACGATAAAGACCTCTACATTTCACTGCAATGCAAATATTGAAGCATGAAAATAGTCTCATCATATGGCTTGGACTGCCATATGGAAGCTTTAAAAAATCCTTCTTGAATAATTAAGGCGTTAATGACAAGAGGCAAGGGATTTTAAGTGGTATATAACTTCGTTATATAGAATTATTATAAATCCTAATTTTAGACAGAATTCTGCTTTCCTTGAGTCTCATATAAAAGTCTTTTCCCAGAAAACAGAAATCTTTAAACCTTTAACCTAATTCAAGTTCAGCAAAATGTGAGTTGCAAGGCTAAATGT